TGCACGCTCTATCCACTGAGCCATCCAGGCGGCAGCTCAGCTCAAGGTGCCGAATTCAGTCTTAGTTGCGGGCGGGCATAGCCCACCATCTAACAGGCAGTCTTGTTGTTAGGAGCATGTGCTCTCACCAGCTGAGCCATCCTGTCACCTGTTGGCAGCTCAGACTGCCTGCCATATTCTTGCTGTATCTCCAGCCTAAACATTATCTGCCATTAGTATGCATAAATAGATGATTTTGGAATAAATAAACACTATTGGCAAAGTGGTGTAGAAGACGCTTGGCATATAGTTGTGAACAAAACACCTGTGGTCTATGAAAGTCACAGTCTTACAGAAAATAAACACCAAATAAATTATTACAAATGCAGTAAGTAGTACAAACTAGAAAGTACGGGTGGTAAGGGGAACACAGAAGCACAAATCTCATCTCATTTGAAAGATCATAGAAATCATAAAATTGTTTTATATAAAGAAAGGCAAGCTTAGAGAAATGATTTGGTGTAGGCCCCACTACTAGTAGGCTTCAGGTCTGCGAGCTATCCTTGAACCACGCCATCCAGCAGCTGCAAGCAGAGATCAGAAGACACTCTGAGAAAGCCCTTGCTCTACAGGAAAGAAAGTGGGTTCTCCAAGTCCAAATTTCCACATTCTCCAAAAATATCAAATTTAAAGTACAGTAACTTGGGGAAATTTTAGAACTTTAAAGTTTGTGTACATGTCCTAAGGGAAAAGGGCTGTGCCCCAAAAGGGTATTTTGTCAAAGGAGCTGGATAGTGATTACAGCAATTTTCGACTCATAGCAATTAAAAACTCTTCAACTTTACACAAGTCAGCTTCCTAAGGTGATTCAAGCACTGTCAAAAATGTCTCCCTCACAGACTTGGCAATGTGCCAGTAAGCCCCATCTTTAGAACCCCTCCTTTAGATTATGCTGCTGCTCTAAATTTCAGGTCATGGTGTGTGGGGGGGAGTGGGGGGTATGCAAAGCCAACAGATAAACATGGCACACATCTTGAAGCATCAATTTTATTTGGAGCATAGGCAGTTGGGGAGCTAAGTATAATAACAACTCATATGTAATTTAAAATTATATATATATATATAATTATATATATATATATATATATTTTTTAGCTGAGCCATCCTGCCAACCTGTTGGCAGCTCAGCAGCAGCTCAGCTAGGGCCAGGAATCAAACTGGTGACCCTGTTGCTCAGAGCTTGCCCTCTTGAGCGAGCTCTTAACCAACTGAGCCATTCAGCCAGCCTGCTTAATATTTTTTTAAATGTGGCTATATTATGGGTAGACTACAAAGTTTAAATAAATATTAAGATAAAATATGATAATTCAATGACAATTCATGCCTGGAACTGGAGTGGGGAGTCAATTAGAGCTATCTTCCCTAAACCCCAAGGCTTTGGCAGAAAATTTGAGAAATACAGGTTTATAAAATAAAATTAAAAATCTTACCATAAAGATTGTTCTAGTTTTAAAAAATACTGTCTAGAAAGAATGATATATTAAACCATTACACCAAACCTATCACTATTGGTTATGTATAGTGCATCTGCAGGAAATTGCCTACTAAGTGACCTGTCATCTAGAAGAACCTAAAGGAATATGATATCTGGTTAAGTCATCACGATGTGTGATGAGCAGAGGAAGCCTGGGTGACAGAAAACATCAAGAAGCTTCTTGGGTTACAGGAGGTGGAGCTAAAAAAAAATGGGTTTCAGATGCATTTGAAACAGACATTAACTTAATCAGGCCTGAAGGGTCTATCAACTGTCCACAAGGCAGAACCCCTTCCCCAAACCCTTATTTTATAGATGAAAAAATGAGGGCCCAAATGTTCAAAACCATTTTCCCAGGGTCACACAGTAATTCAACATGGCCCAATGCCATACCTAAAATTCCTAACTGTATTCAGTTCCCGTTTCAATAATAATAACAGCAAGAATAATTACAACTAAATTTACTAAGTCCTCTTTACATGCCAAGCACTGTACTAAGTACTTTACCTTACTTAATTCACAATAATCTTAAGAGGAAGACTCTATTATCTGCATTTATACAGATGAGGAAACGAATGCTAGAAGTGGTTAAGAATTTGCTCAGGGTCACATAGCTACCCAATGGAGGAGCTGTGATGTAAAATAGGCCCATCTGATTCCAGAAACCTGCCTCTTACCCACTTCAATTCCTTACAACATAGCCTTTATGTCACCCGTATTGTCTAGAAAAGCAACCAAGATGGTTTCACCTTATCTTAACAATAGTGACTTACATAAATTAAACCACCTAAAAGCCAAAGTGTCCCAGAAAGAGGACGAAAACCCAGTCAAAGTGGGAGAGTTATGAAGAGCAACCAGGTATAAGAGTAAAGTGGTCAAAGTAAGACAAAGGAGACAAAGCATAACACCATACCTAGAACAGGAAGTTGGGATGACAACAGAGAAACCAGACCTCACCTGGAGTGGGTCAAATTGTACCCCGCCTCAAACTCAAAAGTAAGCAATCAAAATGGAGAAGTTGGCTTATTTCAATAAAACTAGATTTCACTTACTGAATTCAAAATAACATTTTTTTTAAAGATTTTTAGATTTTTTATTGAGGAATTGGGGGATGGGAACAGTGCTGGGGAATTGGGGGAAGGGGAACAGACAAGCTGCTCTCCTTTTGGTCTTCAGTCTAGTTGTGGAGGACGTTGCTTCACTGGCCCAAGTTGGCACCTTCATTGCGCTCTTCCCGGGCAAGACAGATCAGCTGCCGGCTTCTGGATGGCTGCTCACTGCGGCTGCTGGCCGCTCACGCTGGCTGCTGGCTGCTCACGCTGGCTGCTGGCTACACACGGTAGCTCATGGCAACCCACTGCCACAGGGGCTGCAGCCTACACCGTCGCCGGCAACTCACGGCAGCCCAGCTCCAGGTTGAGCTGTTGTTCAGCATCTTAGCTGTAGAGGGCAGTGTCACTGGCCCTCATATGTGGGATCCGAACCGGAGCCCTCTGGCGTCCCCAGCCAGTTCTTAACCAACGTGCCACTCGGCAGGCCCAAAATAACATTATTTTAATGATGGTAAATAAACAACTCTCAGTAATTCAAATTACTTGTCTAACACTCCAACACTTCATCCTCACCCTCCCACCCTCCTTTCAAAAGACAGTAAAGAACACTTAACAACAAGAATCCTTTCACATATTCTCATTAGGTAGACCTCCTGCAGGATCCCCTAAAAGGTCATTCACAGCAGAACTAGAACACAGAGTTGTGTTGATTTTGGAGGCAGAAATGCTACTTCATTTCTAAGCCAAACCACAAATTTGAAGTTGTTCAGCTCCGACCTTTAGCTTAATACCAGCAGCAAACAACCCCCTGTGGTCTCATTTCCTCTGCTCATCCAGCACATAATTTATTTGTCACTACCTCTGCCTAATCATGTCAGCGGAATTCAGGTGGGATTATGTCAAAAAATATCAAGTTTTAAAATACAGTGAACAAGACAAGCATAGTTTCCTACCTAGGTTAGTACTCCCCTTGATAATTTTCTATACTTTGTTTTGCCCTTGAATCCGTTAACTGTAATCAACATGAGACAACAAAAGAACTCAAGGCATGGAGCCAGGAATCCTGGGTGCTAGTCCCAGATGTATCATTAACTTTGTGTATGACTTGGGAAAAGACCTCAGTTGCTCTGGGCCTCAAGAACCTAATCTCCAAAACAGGAACACCTCCTCTCTCTACCTGTTTCATAAAGGTGCTGATGAAAACTAAATAAAATATTATGTGCAGAAGTATTATGAAAAGTGTGAGATGCTACACAAATATAAGAGAAAACGGGTTAATGAAGCAGTGGCATGTGTCATCCAATGCAGAATAAAACGTTTGCTTAAAAAATAAAAATATATATTTAGCTTTGTGACCTATGATAGGCATCCTCAACTACAAATACAACTGAGGTACAAAAAAAAAAAAAAAATTCCCAAAGAAGAGTCCTTAACTTTGACGATCAGCAGAGACCTGATAATAGACATGGGTAATTGAGCAGGAATTCAGTTACTCACTTAACAAATATTTAGTAAGCACATATCCTACACCAAGCCTTGTACTGGTGATTGAGGATACAACAGTAAAACCATATAGCAGGGGGTTAAGCCAGTGACTGGAGCTAAGTGGAGATGCTTTCAAGATATCTGGCTATATTGGAGACAAGTGCTAGAGGAGGATCTTTTGAAAAATAGGTAATATGGGAGAGACTGAGCATGTTTAAATAAGAATGGGAATGAGTTAGTAATGGGACAAATGGCAGACTCAGGAGAAAGACAGAAACAATACCAGGCAGAAATTTCTAAGAGGTAAGATGGATGTGAAGTTCTGAGTAAGATGGAAAATGCTTTTTTTAAGAGACTTGGCAGATGACAGTAGGGGAAGGTTAAATTGGGCACATAGACTATTTGGTACAAGGCATATGTCAGCAAGTGGATTAGAGTTCACATAGAAGAAGCAATTTAAATTACGGGGAAGAACTGGTAGGCAGAAGAGTGGCCCCAAAAAACATGCACATCTTAACCCCCAGGACTTGAGAATATGTTCTTCATAGGGGAATTAAGATGGCAGATGGAATTAATTTGCCAACCAGCCGGCAATTAGCAAACATATCCTGGTTTATCCAGGTGAGCCTCATGTAATCATAAGAACCCCTAAATGCGGAAGATAGAGGCAGAAGACTATCAGAGTGATGGAATGTGAAAAAGACTCAACCAGCCATTCCTGCTTTAAGATGGAAGGGGGTCATGAGCCGACCAATGTGGGCAGCCTCAAGAAGTTGGAAAAGGTGAGAAAACAGATCCTCCCCTAGAGCCTCCAGGAAGGAATGCAGACCTGCCAAACCTTGAGGCCCATTTCAGACTTCTGAACTATGGAACTGTAAGATAAATTGTGTTGTTTTAAGCTACCAAAGTTTGTAGTAATTTGTTATAGCAGCAATAGAAAACTAATACAAGAGTCTCTTAACAAACAGAATATGAGAATAATCTCAAAAAAATCATAAAAATAAATCTGAATACAGAAAAATAATAGGCAAATTGAAGGTTTTCAGGGATAACTATAGTACTCAAAGAAAGATGTACTCAGTGAATTCTTAGACCACTCTCATGGTGTCCCGTACAGTGTTACCTAACTCCAGGTCACCCCATTCAGCAACTACCATAGTTGACAGTTTTCACCCAACCTCAACCTGATCTGCTCTAGTTTCATGCCAAGGATACAAACTTTAAAATTCTCAAAATTCAATTATTTATATATATATTTTTAATCGTATGACATATGGTCTTTTGTGTCTGTCATCTGATGTCTTTCACTTAGCATAATGCTTTTGAGGTTCACCATGTTGTTTGTTATCAGTCGTACACTGTGCATGTATCAGTCATTCATTCATTCTTTATTGTTGAAGAGTATTCTTTTGTATGAAAAAATTCAGTTACATTTTAGTTTGTATGTATTGTCACTTTTATACAAGTATTATTTCCTAAGGATAGTGAATAATATTTTGAGTCCACTCTTATCCCTAGTATAGACAGTGACTTATCAATAAAAATATATAATAGAGTCAGTTGTGCAATGATGCTTCTTTGTGAATGTACTCCAACATAATTAATGTATTAGTAAACAACTGAGCATAATACAAGTTTCTCCTTTACATGGACACAACTTCATTGCAAGAAACATGGGTAAATACTGAAAACTGCACCCAGCTGAAGTGAGCCACACAGGAATACACAAAACATACACGCGTGCTATACCCCAAGTATTTTCCAGCTACCTCAGTTCACCCCATATGTAACGAGCTACACACATCCTCCTGTGATGTTACAACTTTCCATCCTACTTCAGATAACCCTCCTTCCACCACTTTACAATAACTCACAAACTTCAATCTTTCCAATGTAAACATCCACACACAAATTTCAGGGCCTCTTCCAAGTGAAGAGCCATATTTATTTAGTATTTATGTACTTCTTAACCATATACAATGTATAAAATGTGCCATCATTTTTATTAGGCACAACCATGAAGATTACTGGCACTCACCAGATTATTTAGTCCACCTCCTGGGTGTTGCAACGGCAATCACTCTGAGCCCTGCCTCTCAGTGGTACAGAGCCCACACTCAAGAAACCACATAGAGGCTGGCCGAGTGGCTCAGTTGGTTAAGAGCTTGCTCAAGAGTGCGAGCTCTGAGCAACAGCGTCACCAGTTTGATTCCCACATGGACCAGAGAGCTGCATCTGAGCTGAGCTGCTGCTGAGCTACCAACAGGTGGCAGGATGTCTCAGCTGGTGAGAGCACATGCTCCTAACAACAAGGTTGCCTGTTCCAGATGGTGGGCTATGCCCACCTTGCTACTAAGACTGAACTCAGCACCTTGAGCTGAGCTGCCGTTCGGGTGGCTCAGTGGATAGAGCGTGCACTCTTAACAACGAGGCTGCTGGTTCCAACTCCCACATGGGATGGTGGCTACGCCCACCTGCAACTGATTGTAACACAGCACCTTGAGCTGAGTGGCGCAACTGGACTTGGAGCTGAGCTTGCTGCACCCTCCACAACTAAGATTGAAGGACAACAACTTGGCTGTTCCCCTTCCCCAATTCCCCAACACTGTTCCCCTCTCCCAATTCCTCAATAAAATCTTTAAAAAAAAAAAGAAACCACGTATTCCCACATCTAAGTAAGGGCTCAACCCCAGACCTCAGAGTAGACTCTGTGGTAATATTAGCTGTATAGATAAGTGAGACCACAAAGAGTCCTACTTCCCTCCTATTTACTCATGTTTGATTTGAAACTTACATACACCTCTTTACCACCCACATATATACCCCAACTATGCTCTTGCCTGGACTCTGCTGCCCAGGCTGGATCTTTGGACTCCGACTCACCTACTTGGTTTTTCAATCTGTCCTTACTGTAATTTGAGACAAACTTCTGGACTCTCCTGGATTGCATGCCCTAGTGGTGTGTTTCTAAATAAGTATCCATGTGCTGGCACAACACAGATATTCTGACTATGGATAGAATTGGAAATCTTTAGCCGCTGAAGGCTCAGAATCCCTCACCTTCCATGATCTGATGTGTCCTGCTACTGCTCAGGGGCCAGAACTGACCTTAACCCTAAGCCTAAAGGCCAGTGAAGCCAAGACTCATAACACTGGAGGATTCATGCTGTGCTATTATTATATTGGGTCGTCGGGAAAGTCATGGTGCATTTTTGCATTGAAAAACATAGAAAAATACGTCACGAGTTTCTCGACGACCCAATACTTCAAGGTCATAACCATCATTCCTTAGTAAAGTGATCCACACCACCACCCAACATTTAATAAACTATCCTCCACAGAGGTGTACCATTTCAGAGCAATTTTATCATTAGCATGTAAGCCGCAACAACGGTATATCATTCCATTTTCCATTTCCAGAAATCTATTTCCTCACCAAGAGAGAGGAACAAGTCTGCCTCCAGTAAGGTCAGACAGTAAACAAGCACAGTGGCTGTGGTGGTGGCCTAGAAAGGGAAGTGGCCTCACAATGAGAAAAGAATTTATGACTTACCCACAGGCCTGGTCATTGCAGGAACTGGCAGGAAAACAGAAAGGGCCCATTAAATTTAGGGTGAGACTTGTAGTAGGTAGGACACATCTCTGTTGCCTAACATGAATTTAGGGGGGAGGGGGAAAGACACTCACCTGCCTACAGTTTCCTTTGTGTATGCCAGTTTCTAAGGAAAACAAAGATTTCTTTTTAAATGAATGTGTGAATTAATTACAGTTAATAGGCTGTAAATAAAGCTTACTACATAGAGAACACTAATGCCCTAACATTATAGAATCTGTTATTATTCTCTATGGTTAGACAAATAGTTAAAGCAAGGTACTAATGATGCTTGTTTTGTGACTGTGAGAACATCCCTATATTCAATCTCTGTTTATGTTCCCCAAAGTTCCTGTGCTCTCTTTTAATGGGCACAGGTTAATAGCCTTTACCTGCTAATCTTTCCAAATGGTCTACAAGTCAGAGATTGGTCGAGTTTTACATTAACCTTTCCTGGATTCAGAATTAAAGTATTTTGTGATCTAACATATTTACGGTAACTCTCATCTTACAATATAAACATGAAGATTAAAATAACTGATAAATCTACTTTTCCAGAATTCGGACAAAAAGACAAATTGTATCAATCCCTAGATTATTCCTCTGGGGCTTTCCAAATCAAATTATCCTCAAGTTTCCTCTAAATTAGTGGTTTTATTTTGAGACTAATATGATAAAAAGAACACTAACTTGGAGTCAGAAACCCAGTTTCAAGTCCTGTTTTCTCTCACTTAGCTCTAGAGGCAAATCCCCAAATCTCTCTGGTGTTAGGCCTCAATTTCCTCATCTGTAAAATGGAGAGACTATTACTCTAAATAATTTTCATGGTATTTATAAGTAACTGCTCTTCTTACTCTACAGACTCTCCTAGAATAATCTCAGCCACTCCATGGTTTTAATTACCACCTCAAGACTGGTGATTCCTACAGCTATATTTATAACTCAGACCACTCTCCTTGTCTTCATACCTAAATGTCAAGCAAGTCACATTTCACAGGTGGCTCAAATCAACACCTTCAAAAGTGAAGTCATTCTCCCTCCACCCACCATCTACAAAGCTGCTTCTCTGTCTGAGTTCTGGCTCTTAGTCATCTGAGCTAGAAACTGAGAGGCTTCCTGGGCCATTCCTTCATCCTACCCCACTCCCACCAATCCATGACTTTGATCCATTTACGTCTCTCATGCTCCCTTTCTCTATCTCATGGTCTAGTTAGGACCCTCAGCCCCTTGGGCCTGTAGCAATAAGCAGCATCCAATCTGGTCTCTGCTCTAATCTTGTCCCCTCTAATCCATCCTAAGATGTCTAGAAACTATACTAACCATTTTAAAATTAAAAATGATCAAATCAGCCCCTGTGACTCCACCGACTTACAACCCTCCAATGGCTTCCTATCACCTATAGAGTTAAATGCAGACATGTTAACTTATCCACTTTTCCAGCCTGATCTCCTGTGACTTCTGGTATACTGGCCTGAGTCATTCCCTATAAACACTTGGCCCATGTTGTCTGTCCCCTCTGCTTAGAATGTCCATCCCAAACTCCTCCTCATTTAGCTAATTTGTATTTGTTATTTAAGACTCCATCCAGGTTATACATTACCCCTTTTGTCTGCATGTTCTACTAAGCAGTTTTGTTTTCTTGTCACAAATACATACATGCTCCATGAAAAGGGGAAGGTGGTCAGATAATTTGTCTATGTGCATGCTTACTTATCCTTTGCTAAGAAGAAACTAATGTCTAAAACAAGGAAAACAAGTAAGCAAATTAATTAATTATGATTATATTTATACTTTATACATTTATTCAATGAACTATACCCTCTATCTTAATTAGAATCATTGGTAGCCAATCTGAAATAATAATGTGTAAAACTTTGGCAAAAATGTTTGAGACTCACAGATTTATATTCTTAGCCTAAACTTTTGCTTAGTACTATTTCCAAATATTTACATTTATAAACAAGGCTGAGGCTCTTAGTGGATTAACAATGTTTATTATAATGACCAGAGCTAGGGATACAAAGGCTAGGCCACACCCTGTGGCAGCTCACTCAAATAGCCTAATTCAACAAAAAGAGCAATGCAGGGATTTGCCACTTGTTCTTTCTTCCTTTAGGCCCTAGCTGTGTATACCAGCTTCATTCATAGTCCAGCAATTCCTTCCATTCTTACTACACTTACCTTCATAATTAAGCTTCTGTGTTCCACAGACTGACTAAAATTTGTGCCCATTTCAAATATAGTTGTGATTCCATCCTCACACAAATTCATCCAGTAATGATATTCCTCATGCTCAGGAAGTCGATCCCAAAAAGTCCTGAAGGCTTCCCAAACAGCTTCTTGGCACACTGAAAAACAGAGAGGTAGTTTTGTGAAAAGTTAACACACTTTGGAGTTCTCATGATGGTCATGGACCTATTTATTCAGATTCCTGAGACACTCTTGCCCACAGTGTCCTTTCTGGAGGGACATGGAAATGATTCTCAGTCAAAGCCCTTCTGTTTCTGTATGTCCTGCTTCAACTTTTAAGATCACAAGAGAATTTTTACTCCCCACTTCTTTCCTTTGCAGAGGGGATTGATTCACCTCCTAACAGGCAGAAGTTTTCTCCCCATCTTTAAAAAAAAAAACATTTTTATGCTTCACAAAAGTGGAGATGATGTTGAGCATACTTTAATTGGTGATTGGATACACAAACTATGGTACCTCAATATGATGAAATATTATTCATAAAAAAAAAAAAGAAATGAGCTTTCAAGCCATGAAAAGACATGGAGAAGACTTAAATGCATCTTGCTAAGTGAAAGAAGTCAATCTGAAAAAGCTACATACTGTATGATTCCAGCTATATGACATTCTGGAAAAGGCAGAACTATGAAAATTGTAAAAAGATCAGTGGTTGCCAGGGGTTGGGGGTAGGGAGAGACGAACAGATGAAGCACAGTGGATTTTTAGGGCAGTAAAACGACTCTATATAGTAGTGTAATAGTGAATACATATCATTATACATTTGTCAAAACCCACAGAATGTAAAACACAAAGAGTGAATCCAAATGTAAATTATGAACTTCAGTTAAGAATAATGTATCAATATTTGCTCATCAATTACAACAAATGTGACATACTAATACAGGATATTAAGGGGAAAATATCGGGGGGCCAGTAGCAGTATAGGTAACTCTCTGGACTTTCTGCCAATGTTTGTATAAACCTAAAACTTCCCTAAAAAATAACATCTAATAATTAAAAAAAAGATATGAGAATTAAAAAGAACAGAAAATGATATTTAGGAGAAATACAAGTATACTGCTGTATTAAAATAAAAACTAATAAAAACTAATTCAATCTATCTGCTAAGTTATCCCATAGCATCAAATCTGAAAGGATGCCAAACAGGCTATCTGCACATTTTATAAAGCATTGAGGGTCTTGCTGTACTGTAACCATGTCACAAGCCAGATGCAGGACATGACAATACATAGATTGAGAGCAAAGAGGTAAGTGGTAAGGGAGAAAGAAGGATATAAATGGGGAGGGATCAAGAAAATTAATTTTCATCTCAAGAAGATTGAATATTTGACAGCATATTGAGGTGGAGCCCCTGAACTCACAGAGTCAGAAATCTGAATTCTGGCCCTACTTCACCAGGTACTAGCTTGTGGGGAACTTACACAGCCATTCAACGCTTCAGTGTAGCACTCATCTTTCTTTCTTAATGGTATGCATAATTACTGCCTTGCTTACCTTTTCTGTGAAAGTAATTTATAAAGTGCATAGTGCTACATGAGTATCAGATGTTATTATAATATTGGATTCTGGTCATCTGACAGTTGTGTGATGGAAGAAGACAGTCTAAGACAAAAATCAACTCTAAGTTTTAACAGAGAGCGAAATATTGAAGGTTTCTTTACCAGTTGATTTTTCAAGGTTGAACTGAATCTTGGGTTGCACACTTAGTTTCAGTGAACTAACTGCACCCTACTTACTGCTCTTAGAACCTTTGATCCTATAACATAGAGTCCAACAGTGACTGACTGAGGCAGAGCTAAAGACAATGCAAAGGTGAAAGTCAGGATTGGTAAACACAAACAAAAAGTGAATGTATGTAAGGTTTGATTATAAAATAAGGTGACTGAGAGAAAGTATAAAAAAATTGCGAGACCAAATAATTATATATTCGTAAGGAAAGAAAAAATAAACTCAATAACTTCTTTATAATATACACACACAAAAATTTTGAAATATGAAAGCTAATACCATAAAGATTGTAAAAAAAAAACACTGAAGAATATCTACATGATTTAAGGATAGGCAAGGATTTCACAGACAGGACACAGAAAGCAACACTATAAGAGAAAAAAACCTGAAATTAAAATTCATCAAAACTAAGAACTCCTGCTCATCAAAGACACTATAAATAAAAATGAATAAGCAAGCCATATATCAGACAGAAAATATTGGAAATACATATATCTGACACAAAACTAGTATTTAGGATATTCCAAAAATTCCTACAACTCATTAGCAAAAAACCAAATAATCCAATTTTAGAAACAGGTAAAAGACTGGAATAGATACTTCACAAAAGAATAGATTCAAATAGCCAATGAGTATGCTCATTATCATTTATCTTCAGAGAAATGCAAATTAAAGCAGTCACACATGAACCAGAATGGCTGAAATTTTTTACATGGACAAAACCAAATTTTGGCAAGGATGTGAAGGAAGCAGAACCCTCATTTTTGGCAAGGGTGTAAAACAGTACAACGACTGTGGGAAAAAATATTGGTAATATCTTATATACAAGTAAGTAAATATAATCAAATCTATGACCCAAGAAATTCCCCTCATAGGTTATTCTTTCAAGACAGAGGTAAGCATATATCCATAGAAAGAATACTGACTGCCAGAGCAACTACATTAATAACTTAAAAATGGAAATGACCCAGATATCCATCAACAGGAAAATAAACAAATGGTCACACAAAAGAGTCAAAAGGAACTAATTACTAATTAATGCAACAACATGGGTGAACCTCAAAAAGTGAGTAAAAGAAGCCTCACACAAGAGTACATACTATTCTAATTATATAAAGTCCTAGGTAAGTGAAACTACACTATGGTTTAAAAAAATTAGAAGAGTGGATGCCTGGTAGATGGAGTGGTTGGGGGGGCAGGCTTGTCTGGGAAGGAAAATAAGATAGCTTTCTGGGGGTGATACTGTCCCAAAATTTAAAAGGGGTTTTGGGTTATACCAGTGTATGCATTAGTCAAAACTCACCAAATGGTATGCTTAAGATATATGCATTTCACTCTATGTAAATTTCACCTTTAAAAGGTAATTTTTTTTTGGGGGGGGGGAATTGGGGAATGGGAACAGCGCTGGGGAATTGGAGGAAGAGGAACAAACAAGTTGCTGTCCTTTTGTTCTTCAGTCTAGTTGTGGAGGACGTTGCTTCACTGGCCCAAGTTGGCACCATCATTGTGCTCTTCCCAGGCGAGGCAGATCAGTCGTCGGCTTCTGGACGGCTGCTCACAGCGGCTGCTGGCCGCTCATGCTGGCTGCTGGCTACACACGGTAGCCCATGACAACCCACTGCAGCAGGGGCTGCAGCCTAGCTGTCGCCGGCGACTCACGGCAGCCCAGCTCCAGGTTGAGCTGTTGTTCAGCATCTTAGCTGTAGAGGGCAGTGTCACTGGCCCTCATATGTGGGATCCGAACCTGGGCTCTCTGGCATCCCAAGCCAGCTCTTAACTAATGCGCCACTCATCTGGCCCGGTAATATTAAGCTCTAGTTAATGATGTTCATGCTGAAGTGTCTAGGGGGAAATGTATGATGTCTGTAACTTATGAAATACGTCCAAAAAATAACATGATTGGACAGGTAGATATGTCATAAAGCAAATATAATAAAATGCTAACTCTAGGACTAGGTGGTGAGACTATGGTGTTTACTGTATCATTCTTAGAACTATTTTGTATGTTTTAAAATTTTCTTAAAATCTTAGAAAAGCATTATTATTGAATGCTGAATAAATGTACTTGGAACATCTAGAAGTGATAGAAATCATACCAGGTTTCATAGCAGGCCTTCTCTTGGTCTCTCACAGATTCACAGAAGAAAGTCATGAGCTGTCTCGTACAAATTATGTTTTTAGGGGATGTCCCCCACCTCCTACAACAAGCCCGCATCAGTTCAATGCTTGGTCCAAAATATCTCCATCAGAAATTCATTCTTTTAAGTCAAGCTTAACCATTTTACATCTAATGTATTGAAATTCAATTCTCAGAGTTCTGCTTCCAACATGAGAGAGTGGGGAGCTACATGGACCCACTTCACAGCAAAACTAATGAAAATTATTTAAAAACCAACCATTTAAAGTCTCTAGAAATCGTTCTAACAAATGAATAAAGTTATTCAGGAAAATCTACTAAACTGTTTTTTTTTTTTCCAAGCCAAGTCATTGTCCTTCAATCTAGTTGTGGAGGGTGCAGCTCAGCTCCAAGTCTAGTCACCATTTTCAATCTAGTTGCGGGGAGACGGGGGAGGGGCGCAGCCCACCATCCCATGCGGGAGTTGAACTGGCAACCTTGTTGTTACGAGCACACACTCTAACCAACTGAGCCACCCAGCCACCCTGAACATCTACTAAACTTTGATAAGAAAAGTGAGAATCAGTGGTTATAGCCAGGGTAACTAGGCAAGAAAAGAAAATAAAGGCATCAAAATTGAAAAGGAAGAAGTAAAACTATATTTGCACATGATATGACCTTGAATACAGGAAGTCTTAAGAAACCCACTTAAAAACTATAAGAACTAATAAACAGATATATCAAGGTTTCAGGATACTAGATCAATATACAAAAATCAGGTGTGTGTCTGTCTATACACTAGCAATGAAGAAACCAAAACTGAACATAAGAAAACAATTCAATTTACAAAAGTATTAAAAAGAATAAAATACTTAGGAATAAATTTAACAAATGAAGTATAAAACTTATACTCTGAAAACCAAAAAATATTGCTGAAAATCTAAAATAAATGGAAAAACTTCCCATTTTCATGGATTGGAAGACTTACCATTTTTAAGATGGCAGTATCTCCAAACTGACCTACAGTTTCAATGCAATCTCATCAGAACACTGGCTGACTTATTTATAGAAATTCACAAACTAATTCTAAAATTCAAATGAAACTGTAAGAGACCCAGAACGGCCAAAACAATTTTGAAAAAAAAGAATAAATTGGACTTCATCAAAATCAAAAAAGTTTTGTTCATGAAAGACACCATCAAGAAAGTAAAATGAGGGCCGGCCGAGAGGCCCAGTTGGTTAAGAGCTCACTCA